TTTTTTAGCATAGCTGAGAAATGGTAACTAGCAAATATTAAAATCCTAGCAGAAAAAAAGGCACAGGTTGTGACCTTCATACATTAACTACTAATAATGAATTATAATTATATAATAATATAATATAATTAATGAATGAACAAAGCATACAAGTTTTCACCTGTGGACAGATGTTCACCACAGATCAGGTTTCTGTTAAAAGCAACTAGTTGTTGAAGTGAAGTTAGATAACCCATGCCAGTCAGTACGTGGCAAGGAGGAACCTCTTCTGGTAAAGATATTACTAGAGAATGAGCAACACTTAACCTACATCTACAACCTACATACAGAGTGCTTTGCAACAATGTCAGTTTTAACTGATCTACATTAAAATCCCAGGGAAAACAACACATTAACTGTGTTTTAGTTCTTTCCAACAAAAAAAACAGAACAAAATTAAATAAAATAAAAAAAAACAAAGCCACTTTCAGGGGCCTTACTTTTAGCAGGAAAGATAATGCCTAAGAATTTGGTGTGAGAACAAGTTATATGCTAAAGATAAGAACAGTTTCCTTAAATTTACTACATTCATATGCAAACATAAATTTAGTACAAAATCTTAAAAAGCAGACAGCCCAAATCAAAGAATTGCAGAGAAAGGGAAGCTAGGATGATCAGCAAAGGAAGTTATTGTTTCGTTTTTTAACATCATCTCCAGTATTTCTGTTTGCTGTTTTATTTGATTTTTAAAGTATACAGATTATGGCAATTTTATGTGTCAGTGTCCCTATTAAAACTATTAATGCACAATTGACTTGAAGTCAATGATACAGTCACACTTGAAATTTGTTATAATATCTCAAATGTGGTTTTGGAGACTGTTACCCACTGAATGTGAATACTGAAAAAATAACCTGGTTTTATGTTTTCATGATTTTACCCAAAGCAGCCCAGCTGGGTTACTAGATTAAAGATAAAATAAAATAATTTTTTAAAAATTGCATTTAAAAAAGCAAATACACTTTTCAGTCATATGATACAAAAATGTTCCAGCCTATAGAACTCCTACTGCCTACTTTCAAAAAATTCCCTTGTTCTGCAGTCAGTTCAGCGGCTAGTAGAAGTAGTCACTGATGTAAATTCCATCTTGTTTATGAAAACATTTTGAACAAAGCATTGATTGTACAGGGTTTATAAAAAAAACTTAAAACCTATAAAATGTTGGCATCACTACTATTTGTGGCATGAGAATGACATGCATATAAATCATAGTCTATTGGCACAGTCTTCTATACACAGAAAGAAGGCTTTGCTGAAAATGGAATTCATCAATGTAATGTAATTCCCCTCTTTTACAGATATGTTTTTAATGTGTTCTGAATCAGGAAAAATCTGAACCAGATTTTAGTCTACAGTAGGAATCAGGGGCACAAGTAGTCTTTCATGGCATGGGTTAGCTATGGTAGAGGGGAGAATTAATACACATGTAGGCAGAGTTTGGGGAAATAGGATGGGTGCAAAGGCCTCAGTGTGAGCCTTTGGGAGAGGAGGTCATTTGTGTAGCTGATGTCCGGCCATGCAATCTCAGCCACACCTGTATTAGTCCTGGGGACAGTAGTCTATTGCTCAGTTTTGTAGGTAAGAGTCTTACTATCGCCATTTAGGAGAGGTAACAGTTTTCTAAAGACTTTCACAGGAGGACTCTTTCTCTTCCTGCCCATCATGAGGTGGGTGAAAGAAGCCTTTTATGCAACAGATTTGCATCTTAACAGAAGAGGATTTTTTTTTTTTTCTGGTGACATTTTGGAAACCTTGATCCACAGCCTCTCCAGCAAGGACAAGGAGAGCAACCATCTGCCAATACTTGGCCAAGCATGTGAAGCCACCCTTGTGCCTCATACAGCACTTCTTTGCTTGGTCAACGGCTGGTGGAAAATAAGAAACTTCTCTCCTGGTCCAGGCCCAGATGAGATGTCATACAGGCCGGGTCGCCCTCTCTACATCCATGCTGAACAAGACTTGGCAGTGTCATTTGTTGTTTTAAAATGGCATCCCAATGGGAAATAAGTGTTCAGGTCTCACTGCGGGAAGTGATCTAATTCTCTTGGATTTTATGAGTAGCCTGTTCTTAGCAACAGGAAGATTTTGAAGGTGTTGGTCACCTGATCATTCTAAGAATGCTTTGTTTAAAACATCTAATTTTAGCAGTTTTTCCTCTGTTAGAACCTGCGGGATAGCTGCAGTACACTAGACTCAGAGTCACCTTCTCTGGATAGTGATAAATCCGCTGCATAAACTGTGCAGGAGCATTCAAGTCCTGAGAATGAGGCACCCCGTACCTGCATTGCTCCAGTTCTAGACAACTGAAATGTCACTGAAGTTACATCACCGTAAAACAAGAGAAACAGCACTGAACAAGTCCAAGAATTCTCCCAGATGATTCTTTCCTTTTTCTTTTTCAGTAGCAAAATTGTTGGCAGCCACCAGGGATCAATGCTGTAAAGAACCTTGAAGTCCTACAGTGAAGAGCAAATGCTCTAGCAGTCCAAGCAATATTCTGTGAAGTCATTCTACTGGACTGCAGGGCTTGTGGGTGGGATTCTCCCAAGTGAAAAATTAGGCAATGCCGCCAGACTAAGTCCTTACTATTTCTTGGAATTTTAGTAACAGCCATAAAATTTGCTGTTGGCACCTGAATCGTTAGAAGTACTAAGCAAATTAAACAATCAAGCCTCAGTCCTGCAGCTCTTCTCCTCATATGATGTTTATTAAAATACATGTGGTGAAGAGCTTCATGAATGGATTCTAGAATTTTCAAGCAGAAATTCCTAAAATCGGGTTCATAAATCCACATCTAAATTTTTTGACAAGGTCATGTTCATTTCCCAATGTTCTTGAACTTCTGAAAACTGGAAATGCTAGAGCTTTTGAAAAAAAATCAAGCCAATTTATGCAGATCTTTATCTGAATTAGGGTCTGCATTAAGACTATTTTCTAGAATTGACCATCGCAGGCATCAGGACTAGTCCTGTGAAAGCTAAAAGAGATATGGTCTGGCAGCTCGGATGTATTCTGAGTTAATCCTTATTCTCTCGAGTGAAGATGATGTACATGTGGCTGATGAGGATGCCTTCTACTCTATGAAGTCTGGAAATCTGGCCCACACACTGACAAGGAATATTCCCAATGGAAGCACACTGTTTCCATTTATCTTAATAAAGTAGTCCATCACTGATCACATGGCATAACTCTTTCAAAACCCTGCCTGTACTAAATAATTTCATCTTCAAAAAAGTCAAGGAAAAAAAGAAATGTAGGAGACCAGAACACTATGAAGAAAGGCTAGAAAATCACAGCCATTTTAGCAAGACCTTGGCAACTTATGTGAGTTAGAGTGATTGCATACATGCATAAATCATGCCAGCTTGTCTGCACATGCAGCATGTAATATCCACATGCAGAAATGTTGTGTTCCAGCCCAAGCATTCTTCATTTAAAGCAGACAATGAACGAGTTGCACAGCTTTGCTTGCGGTTGTCTTCTCTAGTATTGGAGCATATTTTTAAGCCAGAGGGTCTGTTTAGGAGAGCCAAAATCATGTATACTAATGGCAGTTGCAGCACTGAGTGTGAGGGAGCTAGACAGCCTGATGGCTTGAAAAACATGGAGCATGGAGACAGGAAAGAGACGCGGTTATCAGCAGAAGGACTTCTGCGCGTGTTACAACAGCCTGTGCATCAGAGACTGTGTAATTCAGCCACACCGTCCTCTGCTGGTTAAGCCCAGATCGCTGAAAATCATGATGTATTCATGCTGTTTTCGTTCTTTGGTGCCCAGTTTAAGGCATTTTGACAGTATCATACTTTCAAACAGTCCATCTCCTCCACCTCATCTCTCTCTGCCCACAATACTTTAAAAAAAAAAAACAGGAAAGCAGAGTCTTTATGATTATCAAAGCTTCACGATGTTTACTCTCCAGCTCATGTTTTAAGACCTCTACCAGAAGCAAGGAAGAGTTTCAAGACCAGAAGTTTCCATCAATTTAATTTATTGCCAATTAATGAACTTCTGATTACTGATTCTGATATTTAAAAAAAAAAAAAAAATCACTTAGGAAAAATCACCTCAGGCCCCCTGCTTCCCTCTTTCTGGTCTCCAGTCCCCTCACTGTGAGCTATACTCGGTCTCTCTGGGGAGGTGAGAGGTGGTGTGGGAGATGGGGGTCAGCAGATGGTGACTGCTTTTCGTGTTCCCACTCCTTGCTTCACGCTCAGTTGCCCCAGGGTGGATTCCTCCACGAGCCACCGACCCCGTCAGAGTCGAGCCTTCTCCTCTCTGCCCCTGCTCAAGCAGCTTTTCTTCCTCCAGCCCCTGCTTGAGCTCCTATATTGCTCCAGCATTTCTCCTGCTCTGCTGTCGCTCTTCTGTCTTCCTGCTCTGGTGTGGTCTTCTCTGTCTTCCTCCTCCTCCAGTGATGTTGTCCCTTTTTCTCAGTGTTTGCCACCCTTTCTTAAATACGTTTTCACAGAGGTGCCATAA